GAAGAAAGATAGATAGGTAGAGAGAGAGAGAGAGAGGAGAGAGAGAGAGAGAGAGAGAGAGAGAGAGAGAGAGAGAGAGAGAGAGAGCAATAGAGAGGAAGAGAGGTAGAGAATGGTAAAATAGGAGCTTAGATTTGAAGGAGGGAGAGAGGGAAGGATAAAAGGATGGAGAAATCAAAAGGGATGCACGAACACACCTCCCCCTGCACACGTACCTGTATCGGCGGCTGTCTAGCGTGAACCCGGCGTCGTCCGCTCCCGCCACGTCGCTCATGTGCAGGTTGTTCTTGATGCGCTCCGGTATCGCCGCGATGATCTGCTCTGCCAGCGTCAGCACGCGCTGGTCGCCCGCGCGCCCACCGCCGCCGCCGCCACCGCCACCCTCGTCCGCCACCGAGCGTGGGGGCGCCACGTTCTCGCATTCGTCGTCGGATAGATTGACGACGTCGATGAGCGGGCTGCAGCTCGACAGCGTGTCGGCGTCTGCAAAGATGGCCGCCGTCGCCAAGATGGCGGCGGGGCGGAGTTAGATATTGTCTAAATTCCTTATATTAGTCTAAATAGGTTTCAATCTGAATTAGTCTGAATTTGCGACTCGCAGTTAAAAAATGCAAGCTTTAACAGGACAAGATCAGGCCCCGTTGTCAGTCGTAAGGTTAATTTTTTCTCGTAGACGTGACGTCTATACACTGCGTATGAGAAACTAATTACTTTACTGCTGTCAACAGGTAACAAAGTTTAACAAAGTCAACAGGTAACAGGGGACAAAGTTAATTTTAAGACTAAGACAAATTTTGTTTCTGAAAAGGGGCGCCTGATATTTAGGTGCTCTCGGACACTCACAGTTTGAACCAGAACTCACCGCCATTGGTGATTTGGCCACCAGTCTATCAAATTAGACTACACGCTCATGACAGATAGTCTGACTTTCACCCATGCGAGAGAACTCAACCACGATACGAGCGTCAGAGGAACATATACCTGTATCCATGAGGAGCGAGGTTTGATCTTCATCCCTGCCCAATCTGTAGTCATGGTAACCACGCAATGAGTCATCAGGGTCAACGTCCATGAAGAGTGGAGAGGCGAGGGCCCTGGAGTAAAAGCAATGATGTCAATGGTTACTCGACAGTATGGAGTTCATATGGATTTAATTCGCTAGACGTTTCATTATGCATTCCCCAACTTGAACGGCATTGGGCGGGTTCTGGAAACATTGCCTTGCTCATGAGACACAGTCTATAGCACAGTGTCTGGCTGTAATAGTTGCATTGGTGGTGGGTGTGAACCTATCAAGCAACTGCTGCAACTAACCACAGTCCAATACGTCAAATTCACTGTCGATACCTCAGACACACGACTAAACTGCAAAGACTAAACTACTCAGACACACAAACCTGCAAAGTATATCCGATTTTTATTCACATTTTTTATCTACATTCACTGTCATCGAGCTGCGATTTTTTTCGCACGTCGTCTGCCAACGTTTCGCGGCGGTCGCCATAGCAACGCCCGCATTCGCTGTCTGTACTCACGCCTCAGCCGGCTTGTCTGCTGCATCCACGCTGCCGCCGCCGCTCTGCAGCTTTCTCTCAACAGAGGGCGTGCGACGCTGCTTCGCTGACGAGTCGTTCCTGATCTCGTCCGGCCCCTCGACCGACTGCCGCTTGCAGAGCCGGCCGTGCCGCGACCCGTGGCGCCATCTCTCGTCGGTGTCGCAAGACTTTGCGTAGGGCCACGTGGCGGCGGTGGACGCCATCTTCTTTGCGTCTGAGTCGCTGACGTCTGATTCGTCGTGGTAGAGCGACGCGACGGCCATGAGAGCGTCGTCGGACGTGATCGAGGAGGAGCGGGTGGACGTCGGCGTTGCCGCGGGCGACGACACGTCCTTCCACGCCGCCTGCAAGGTGCGTGATGGAAGCGTATGGTATAGTGTATACATATATACTAATATACAACTACCATATATAACTATATAATATAAATATATAAATTTCTTCATCAAAATCGTCGTCGTCATCATCATCTTCATTATCGTTGTCATCGTCATCATCATCATCGTCATCATCATCATCATCATCATCATCATCATCATCATCGTCGTCGTCATCATCAACATCATCATCATCATCATCATCATCATCATCGTCATCATCATCATCATCATCATCATCATCACCATCATCGTCGTCGTCACCGTCACACGTACCATGTGTTGTGAGTTACAGCTGACGCGCGCGACCTCCATGCTCTCTAGCTGGTCGGCTAGCCGGCTGGACGCGTGGCCGCGGGCCGCGTCGAGGGGCAGCAGTCCCGCAGCGTTCTGTACGCTCAGCGCTGCGCTGTTCCACTGGTAGAGTAGCAACGCCGTGTCCTTGTGGTCCAGCGCACACGCCCACATCTACGCGCAGAGAGAAAGAATGCAGAGTCAAATCTCTGTGCATCTACATACGCACGCACGCACGCACGCCCACATCTACGTATAGAGAGAGACTGTGGTGTCAAACATACACACACGCACACACACATACACACGCACACACACACGCACACATGCACGCACGCACGCACGCACGCACGTACACACACATACACGTGTACATGATTACGTATGCAGGGCATCTATGAAGCTTACCAGCGGAGTGCACATCATGTCGTCGCCGGTTACCGCATCCACCTCCATGTCCAGTACGATGCTCGGGCTCTCACACCTGCCATGAGCAGCGACAACGATCACGGTCGCGCCTCCGCAACAACAACAATAACAACTCACGACTCTCACACCTGCCATGAGCAGAGACAACAATCACGGTCGCGCCTCCACAACAACAACAACAACAACAACAACAACTCACGACTGTCGCATGTAGAGCCCTGGCTAACCCTGGCATGGACGTGAATGATCACAACAGGCGGGTGTGAATGACGAAAAACAATCCCGTCATTATTCACTCCCAATACAACGTACGTACGCACCGGCGGATATAGACACACGATACGATCGTCACACTACCGACACGAGAACCGACTACAATGTCAGCAACGCAATCGGCACGTCAAACGCAGCAAATGATGCAGACGATCCACTCCGTAAACCTCCATTGAAGATCGCGATAATTTCAACGACCAACAACAATTGATAACGACAACGATAATTGACAATGCTCCTCCGTCGCGCGACGTAATTCCGCGCCCACCGCGCGCGCGTCTTACCTCCAGCGTATGAGCGTCTGCACGAGGCGTGTGTAGCCGAGCGCGGTGGCTAGGTGCAGGGTGTTCATGCCGCGGCATGTGCGCGGCAGACACTGGATCTGCGTTGGCTTCAGCCACGGTCGCTGGCTCGCGCGCTGAACGTAGGAGACGAGCCGATCCTCGAAGGACAGCGTGCTCGTGTTGAACGGAATCGCACTCTGAAACAACGCAGGAGAAGAACTGACTTCACACACCCCTTGCATATGATACCTCACCGCGTGGGTCATCAACGATAACGTGCTCACGTTGAACGGAATCACACTCGGAAGTGAAACAACGCAGGAGAAGAACTTGTGACCGACTTCTCGCACACACCACACACGTGTTACAGCGGGGGGGGGGGGCCTAGACAGTAGCAGGGAGTCTATAATAGCCCCCCCCCCCCTATAGCCTATTATAGACTCCCTGACAGTAGCTACCGATTGAAGCAGTAACTACTAGCAGTGACAATAATAACATATCTCACAATGTAATAAATAAACATATTGTAATTACTAACCACTGTTTAATTACTATTATTATAAATTATTATTGTTATTAATAAATTATACATATAAACATATATAAGGCACTATAATAATTATAATTATTACTGGCTGTAATTAACTACTGTAAGCAACAGTATTAACAGAACTAATTATGCAAAAAATAAACAGATAATTTTTTTATACTATAAATACTTATTATATAATTATATATACATTATTGTAACATGTTTTACAAATGTTACATAAGTTAGTTAGAGACGCGGAGTGCGGCTAGACTCGGGGTTGTTTTAGTGATAATCTATGTAGACAGAGCGTCGCGCATCTTGTTGCGGCTACATTGATGTTATAGGAAGAATGGTAAACGTGTTTTAGGTCGGGCGTTTCTAGGGTCATTGTGAAATGAGCGTAGGGACATAGGGCTGTGGGTTAGTGACATATGTGGGGGACAGATGTGTGGTAGGCTGAAGAGACAGGGAGAGATGTAGGAGTCGAGGAGTCTGGTTGTGGTCGCAGGAGTAAGCACACACGCTTACGCGCATGTGCGCGTTTCTTTGTCTCTCTGTGCAAGATGTGACTACACTGTGTGCAAGGAGATGTGACAGATATTAAAGTTATGCAGTTTAATACACAAGTTTGGATTCCTTCTTCATCATTTCTACATCTCATATCGAACATTAATTCAACGTTACATTATAAATGTGTATTGTATATTACACTTTTAATACTATAATATACAAATTATAACATATACATAAACAAATAATAAACTGTGTAATTAACAGAATCGACCTGAAAGTCGAAGAATTTGGCGTCGCCGCAGCACCGCGTTACCTGCTGGGCTCTCTGAGATTTTTGGCTAGTGTTCGCAAGCATTCTCTCCATTTGCTCCAATCGCTCCAGGATGGACATCTTGAACCTGTCCTCTATAGAAACAACAAGCAAACACGAGAGATTAGAATGAAGCTCGACTGAAAGGCCACATGCAAGTTGGGTTTCAATTTGCACAACGGTAAGGTCGAGATACAACATCCGAACATGAGCCATAAGATACAATTTTATAATCCGAATTAGATTCATTGATTACCGTTAGATTATCAGCTATTATCTATATTAAATTATCCTATATATTATCTTATCCTATATTTATCCTATCTTATTAGATTATCCAGTATTAAAGCTCATATTTCATTATTTCCAAATGTATTTAAGGGGTGGGTTGCCCAGAAAGATAGAGAGGGAAGTGTCGTAACGACGCCAGACGTAATCAATCTCTCAATCAATCAATCAACCAATCAATCACTGCAACATCGATTGACGTGACCCAATAATGCATCGATGCCAAACCATTGACATGATCAATCTCTCTTACAAACAATCAATCAATCAATCAATCAATCAATCAATCACTGCAACGTCAATCGACGTGAACTGATAACACGAACCGTCGACGGAGAGCCACTGCTCGTGATTGGCCGGCTGCAGGGCGGAGGGGCGGGCCTTGTACTCGAACACGACGGATGTGGAGATGACGACGCTGTCGCAGGCCACCTGTAGCGTGACGAGGCCCGGCTCATGTGCTGCGGCAGACGACAATACACGCATAGTCAGCAAGTTATAGCACACAGGTGGGCAGGGAGAGAGGCAGGGAAGGAGGGAGACAGACAGGCAGGCAGGCAGGCAGGCAGACAGGCAGGGAGGAAGGGAGACAGGGAGGGAGGCAGGCAGGCAGGCCACCTGTAGCGTGACGAGGCCCGGCTCATGTGCTGCGGCAGACGACAATACACGCATAGTCAGCAAGTTATAGCACACGGGTGGGCAGGGAGGCAGGGAGGGAGGCAGGCATGCAGGCAGGGAGGCAGGGAGGCAGGCAGGCCACCTGTAGCGTGACGAGGCCCGGCTCATGTGCTGCGGCAGACAACAATACACGCATAGTCAGCAAGTTATAGCACACGGGTGGGCAGGGAGGCAGGCAGACAGACAGGCAGGGAGGGGGGAGGCAGGGAGGCAGGGAGGCAGGCAGGGAGGCAGGCAGACAGAGAGGCAGGCAGACAGGTAGCATGAGTAACCGTCACGTGAGGTTAAATTGAATACGCTCGTTTTGTGACAGTAATTACAGATATGCGATAATACAGTAATCGTAACTATGCATATATCGTAGTCTAACAACCAGGTCTTACCACTTAGTCAGTAGTTAATTTAGGACACAACACAGTAGAAAGAATAAGAAGTCCGAGAAGGATAACTGAAAGAAAGTAACAGTAAGTATTTATACGAAATGCGACTATTGGACTGCATTACTTTTGCTTACCTGGACAGAAGCATCGAAGAACTCCACTCTGTATAAGCGATGCAGGTGCGCTGATGCTGTCAAACAAACAGGTGTAGGGCAGAGTCTGCGAGTACCATGGCCCCGTCACCAGAACCTTGGTTCCTCCCTGCCAACACACGCACACGCATGTAACACACGCACACGCATCTATGACATGCAGCAAGTTCTTTTATTGTTTAAAACAGTGCCTAGTTGTATGTATGCTATGTTTAGTACGTGTTTTTGGAACATAATGCCTATTTTTTCTCATTATTATTTACAATTTGAAATGAAAGCACATTGCTTTTTAAGATAAAGATTGTCCTAATTTTCTTTACACGTTTTGCTTAGCACATAACTTTTACTCTTTGTTAGCTTTCGTTTGCAGCAGCTCCATCCAGCTTTTTTTGAAACAAAAAAGCTAGGGTAATGAAGGGTAAGGAGATAAAAACTCCAATTTGCTCGTGAAGCCAAAATGTCAAAAGAAAAAACAAAGCAAAAACAAAACAGTTGGATACACTAGCAGACTGAAACGCTTTCTCGAATAATTAGTACTTCGCGGGACGATTACGCCACAGCGAACAAAAAAGTCGTGCAAATTTATGCGAATACATAATGAAACACGCGCGTTACAAAGATTGCAGAGCAACATGAAACCCCAAAAATGCAAAAAACAACGAACCTCTGGATACGACCACTCCGGCGAAAAGTCGCTGATGACATCGTGCCGAGAGGCGGCGCCACCATCCGGCATCCCTCCCCCGTCGAACACCTCCGTCGCCGTGCCGACCACCGTCTCAAGAGTCGGGTGCGCCAGCGCCGCCTGGTGGTAGTCGTCCGACTGGAGGAAGTCGGGAAAGTCGTGGAGCATGTCGAGTTCAAAGAGATCGTCCGCTCCATGAAAGTCCGCGACGCCGTTCACCTTCTGCCCAAAGTCGTCGTCGCCGGCCGTCGCCAGGGCGGCGCCACCGTACAGCTCGCCCATGCCATTCGTCACCAGGTGGCTCTGTGTCATCGGTGGCGCACTCCACTCAGTCTGTTTTGCAACGTAGGTGTCAGCACCGGAGCCGAAGACGTCACCAGGCGGCAGATGGTAGATGTGGCCGCCGCTGCTGTACACGCCGTTGCTGGTGGCGCCCTCTCGCGCGTCTGCCGTCGTCGCCGTCGCCGACGACAACTTGTTGGCGACCTTCAGCGACATTGCGGTCGGCGTCTGCGTGCCGCTGCTTCCGTCGCCGTTGACGACGACGACGCCGTTCTCGCCACGAAGCTGCGACACGTCGATGACGATCGGCGCCCCCTGGTGGCCATTCATGTCGGCCGCGTAGCCGCCGTTTGTCGCCGCGGTAACGGCGGCCACCGGCGGGCTGGAGCGTTTGATCTTCGGCGTGAGGGCGCGGTGGCGGGGACATCGGTCGCGGCGCGACGCGTCGTGGCAGGTACAGTCTGCCGTGCACGCAGCCTTGTGGTTCTGCCGGTCCAGCAGCTGCTGCACGATGGCGTCAATCGTCTGCGCCGTCTGCAAAACAAGAGAACGTGCTGTGATCGTGGGCCGCTCGAGAACGTACGAACATCTTGTCATCGCGCTCCGTCTGCAAACGAAATAGCAACTTGTAATCTTGTGCAGATTGCGAACAAAAGAACATTTCGTGATCGCGCGCCATCTGCAAATAGAATAACATCTCATAATGGCACGCGCCACCTACAAACAAAAGACCAACTCTAGCTACGTATGGATCTGTACGAATGTTTTGTTATTTGCGTGTTGAAAGCAGTTATGGAGATAATCACTTACTTACCGCTTTCTCCGTTTCGTTGTTCATATCGACCTGATCTTCACTGTAAACTGTGAAGAACATAAAAAAAACATGAGAGCACATCACGCAAAATTGGGAAACTGTAACACGTTAGAGTGGCGACGTCTAAAAACCGGTAAACTAACGACAGGCAGCATTCACTTGCTCATACCTGCTCAGATATTGTGTTTATATAGTGTCACACAACAGGGACAAACGGGTACTTTTATTCATTCTTCCTTTAATACTACCATCTTAAATTTATTAACCAACAGGAGAGCAACAAGGTGGTACTTTTATTCATTCTACCCTTCATACTAACATCTTAAATTTATTAACCAACACGAGAATAATAACGTGGCGAATTTATTCATTCTATCCTTCATGCTAACATCTTAAATTGATTAACCAACGCGAGAGCACACAACAGAAGCAAACGCACATACATACGACACTAGACTATTCGCGATTGCTATATACGGCGACACTAGAACATGTGCGGTTGCTACGCCGACGTACACATTGCATATATGACCGATTGACGCCACTAGACTATGCGCTATTACTACCATGTACACATTGCATATGCAACAACACTACACACTACTGCGCGATGACTACGACGTACACATTGGCTTCAGCTGAGAGATAAGTTCTTCCTGCGTCCATTGCCGCTTGTCCAGGTAATAGTTGAGTCCATAGAGCACGCACGGCTTGCTGTCCTGCTCAAACGGTGCGTTCAGGTAATGCACCAGCACTATGTCCGGATTCTGAACGAACACCGAAAAAACAACATCCGTCACCGACAATCCCAGAAACAGTACGTAATCTCATCATAATCTCAAAAATATCACGGAAAATGACGATCGGACATCACGCTAGGCGTCCAGATTAGTCGGTAACGTATAATATCTCAGCTCTGTGGCATCGAATCGTAAGGCGATTGAACCCACATCGGGGGGGTAGTGCAGCGGAGCCGTGAGCCGCATCCTGTAGAGACTGTCCAGGCTTCCACTCCACACACATATATGACTACATCTACATGTCTAGACGTGTGACCACGCGTGACCATGCACCTACTCTGTCTCTCAGTTATTTTGCCACCATTTAAGTAGCTACTCGTTTTCAAAAATTCAACGCGCGCGAGAGAGAATGATGAAACGCGCTGACGATTGCTCTCCGGAGGACTGGACTCATCTCACATGATCGTCATCATCGGAGCTGTGACGTATCTCACGCAGTACACCTCACCTGCAGCAGCCAGTAGCAGCGGCGATGAAAGGTTGGCAGTATGGCAGAGTGCACGTAGCATCCGTATATGCACTGCAAGCAACGATGACGACAGACACATTAGTTAGCCCCGTATGTTACCGACGGCGAATCGCATCCGCCCCCGCCGATTACACGCGGAACGATCAACGACAATTAGTGAGATTAACGCCTCATCATGTGCCTGCCTTATAGCCGGAGCCGACAACGCTGTGGTGCTGATATAGTAGTGAATGGGCGATGGTTGTGAACTTGTGGTAGGATTCATCAGTCATGGAAAATAGAACTTGTGGTAGGATTCATCAGTGAGAGCATGGCAGAGAATAGAGGATAGTATCAGGAGTTAATAATGACAAACTAATTAATAATAATTTTAATAATTAATATATAATTATAATAATAATAATAATAATATAATTAATTAATAACAAATTAATAATTTGTCATTATTAACTCCTGATAGTACCACTGCATATGGACTACTACTATCGACCCAACCCCCCAGCATCTCACCCATTCCTGCCTCACCCCACCCCACACACTCCCCCCCTCCCGCCACACGCAATCCGACCCAACCTCAGCTCCCTAGACTACCTCAACTTCATCCGACCCTGCCTGACCATGTCGTAACCCGTAAACGTAACACGTCGTAACACGTACCTCGACTCCCTGTACTTTGAGTTTCATGTGGTCCTCTCGTGTGGTCTTGCCGTCCTTGCGCTTCTTCCAGCAGTAGCCATCCTTCCGGTACTTGCACACCTTGCGGTTGTAGAGGAGCATCGAGCCAGACTTGGGCCTGAAGACATTTCAACCATTCACTTCAACGAGTGATCAATCGCTGTAGACATTACACACTTACATTTACACTTACATTATACACTTATTACAAACTTATATTTTTTCGTTGTAATTGTCGATAATTTTAGACATATTTTTTTAGAAGACGGTGCACGACAAGGACCGGTTCAACCATTCACTTCAAAGTGTGATCGATCGTTGTAGACATCACACACTTCTGACATTTCTTCATTGTAATTGTCGATAATTTTAGACATTAGACACATTTTTTTTAGAAGATGTCGCGTGATAATGACCGGTTCGACTCTATTCAATCAGTACGGATATTACGCATTTACATTACTTACTTCATTGGAATTGTCAATAATTTTAGACATTACTCACATTTTTCCCATTGGAATGACCGAGCATTTACCGAATATGAGGTTAACTCGTTCAGCCCACTCCCTACTAATGCCCACGTGGCTCATAAATTATATACGTCCATAATATGGCACTCACACGCACTCACGCACGCACGCACGCACGCACGCACGCACGCACGCACGCACGCACGCACGCACACGTATAGGTTACCTGAGGCGGACGTCCGACGTCAACCAATCCCGATGACTCTCGAAACAATTCAGGAAGGCAGAAACTTCCTGAAAATATGTCACAATCTGTTATAATCACACACACGCACGCACAGTGATATTTGAACCATTTCCCCAGTGACTGAGATAAAACATGACTTAGATGCTGCAGACCGTGAACAGAATCTCTAGCCACTCTTCTGCTCGAATACCCTAACGAAAATCGACACGCTATGTGTAGCTTTTCCGAAACACGCTATTCAATAAAAACGATGCGTGCGTTTATTAGAGAGCCTCATTAATTCACCTTAATGCATTTAAGATTACACATTTGCTCATTATACGAAAACATGTACACAGGGGACATTCATTGCATGTAGTCTCACGGCCTGAATGGAAATATAATACAGTTACCAGATATTTTAATTACCCATTCCAAGGTTTCATTATAAATACTGAATGTAGCAACCAAACTCAATAGAAAAATTATTTCGCAATTCTATTCAGGAGTGCATAATATAGAAATATGATATATATATAATATATATATATATATATATATATATATATTATGCACTCCTGGTCTATCCTAAAAATAACTGACTTCACATCCCCACTAATTGCATTAGAAGCCTAGGGAAAGGCATTAACACACATCACAATTCACATCCTCGGACCTCGGTTATTTTGATACGGTTTTATAACACGGTCGCGAAATTGCAACCAAACACGTGCAAAAACCAATCCGGCATTCCGTGAATAAACGCTAAATTAAATGTTAAACGGCCTATGATCACACATAACTGACTTGCTACAAAACGCAACCAAACACGTGCAAAAACCAATCCGGCATTCTGAGAATAAACGATAAATTAAATGTTAAACAGCCTATGATCACAAATTCTCACACGGGTGCCCACACACCAACATCGCGCCTAAATAACTCACACGCTCTATAGTCGCTTTTATAACACGCTCGACACACATCCAAGGCCAGCATTTAAATGCAGAGACTACGGAATATTTTTAACTGAGATTACGGAACTCGTTAGTCGAGACACTCGTTATTCATGCTCACCTCGTTCGTGTTCCACCGGTGGCGTTGTTTGGGGAAGTAGTCGGGTTTCTGTAGCGAGTCAGAGGCATCTGGCAGCGACCCGCTCTCATGAGGTTGCTCTTTATTCGCTGTCAAATTGAACGCGTGCATAACGTGTGACGATACGTCTTCGAACAGCTGTGCCATGGTGGACGCACGCGGCGTTACCACGTTACATTGCGCGCATTATGTCACGCCACAGCATGTAACACTGTATAACGCCATAGCATGATGTACGCTGTCACTAGGATACTCCATGAAACGGCATAACCGAGGCCACGGACCAAAGATAGCGTGAGAGGGAGGTCCCCCCCCCACCACACGTACAGACAAATGGAGCTACCGTACGATGACTAATAGCCAGTGGAGAATTGCCCACGGTCAACTGCCCAGAACACAAAAATGCACTTGGCATTACCCCCCCCCACCACACCTCAGGCAAAATTACTTAGTTAGCTACGCCCCTCTCATGCTACGCTGTCCACGTTACATTGCCAGCACAGTAGTTACAGTGCGTATAACAGAGCCGCCCGGTGATGCCCAACCTGATGGTATAATCGTATTCCGCACAGACAAACAGCGAGACCGGCGTACTTGTCATCTGTACCATACATGTACTGTTTACTGTATCACTCAGAAATGTTATTATTATTTTAACTGCTCAACACTATTGCACCTACCAGATTTTTTCTCCATGAAAAAGACTGTCTGTCTCTTCAGTACATGTATTTGTATTTGAATTACACGCAATAAAGATTTAATAATAATAACAATAATAATAATAATAACCTGCGTTGAATTTGCGATCCTTGTCCTCGCCCTCTAGCTTCACTGTGCACGCCATCACATCGATCTGCGAACACTTCATCATTGAGCGGCGGGAGCCGCGGAGGAGGCTGCACTACTCATCGTCACTCCGCTGCCCTGTAAAAATGTGACAAACCTGTAAAATCGTCACCCCGCTGCCCTGTAAAAATGTGACAAACCTGTAAAATCGTCACCCCGCTGCCCTGTAAAAATGTGACAAACCTGTAAAATGCCTCCGCCCTGTAAAACTGTGACAAATCATTGTAAAAATCGGCACCCCGCTGCCCTGCTAAAAATGCTGACAAACAACTCTGTAAAATCAGTCACCCGCCTCCCCTTAAAAATGCTGCCACAAACGCCTGTAAGAAATCGTCACCCCGCTGCCCTGTAATAAATGTGTACACAACCTGCTAAAATCGTACCCCGCTGTCCTGTAAAAATGCTGACAAAACCTGTAAAATCGTACCCGCTGTCCTGTAAAAATGTCACCAAACTGTTAAATGCGTCACCCCGCTGCCCCTGTAAAAATTTGCAAACCTCGTAAAATCGTTCACCCCGCCTGCCCGGTGAAAAATTGACAAACCTGTTAAAAAATCGTCTCACCCCGCTGTCTGTAAAAAATGTGACAAACCTGTAAACAATTGTCCCGATTCCAATCGAAATCCTCGTCGAACGTACGTCGAAATCGACGCACGGCGTGAGATGCTGTGGCAGTCGTGGCAGTTCTCGTTGGTACAAGACCTCGTGTTATTATCATTGTTTGTAGCACCTTTATTATTATGGCCATGACTACGCGTCCCGTTAACGGACGCCCAGCTCCCAGGCTAGGTCCGGTCATATATTTTCTTATGTGAAGCACAACTATATTTTTCTGTACAATAAAAAACAATAATCAATCAGTTTTTACCATAATATTACTGACCTTTAGGTATTTTATCAAAAAAATGTGTTTTTGTAACTTTTGAAGCAATAGTAAATCCAGTAAAATCAACGATTTGAAAGGGGGCATGGCCTAATCGTGATGTGGATTTGGGAATCGGTGCTGAGCTTTGAAATGGATGACCGGACGGGTAGCCACTGCGTATTATTATTAGCTGTTTTTTTCGCTCCTGTTATTATGTAGTTCTGAGTGCATATATGTCATAACAATGGTGCTAATGACATTATGCGACGATTGCTTGCCAATAGACGAGTTCCTCATTATAGAAATTCGGTCTCATGCCTTCCCCTACATGTCACATATTTCACACAGACAAGCTGAATTTCATTTGTGATTAATCGAATGTTGTTCTCTAAGGCAAACATTTGTCACAGAGTAGTGAAATTACATGATGTGTGGTAACTTGTAACGAAGGCAAGCTAGTTATGTTAAAGTATCGGTCTTACATCGCCAACATGTATTTTTAGACACTGAACTATGGTTTATGATCAACTGTTAACAAATGCAGTTTTTTTAACAAGTGAATTGTGGCTAAAAAGTACGTAAGTACAATGTGCCCAATATAAGTATGTTGAATCACAAAGGTGATTACTACGGGCTACGGTACAGCGATGTGTTTTATAACAACAGAGTAGAGGTCTACACAGATGATGATGGTGATGACAGACAAATTGCAGCCCTGAAAATTTTGGGGATAGTGAAAATAAAATAGCAGATTGGTTGCGGCAACCACTGGAAACACAGTCAATCGTGTAAACCCTACCATGAAAATCGCAAAACTTGTGCTAATGTGTTTATGTAGTTGCGATTATATAAACAAAGCATATTATCTAAACACACTCAGGACTAGCTGATTTTCCAGAAATTTACGATCACACAAATCACACTTCGCCCATTATATTTTTAACCATAACGAGTCTAGCCGAATTTCACTTTGCTACATAAACAAAGAAAAACACTTCCCATGTTATTACTTGAAATGCACTCTTGGTTTGCTGAAAGCACAATGAGCACTGCTAATAAAGTTTGACATTACTCACGTGAAATTCATGTGTGACTCGCCAACAGCACGTGCCGGGAATACACAGAAACTAGATTTTCTTCACCTTATTGCTCAAATATGCAGGTGAGTGCAGCAAGTCACATGTTCACCTTAAAGTGTACACTACAGTATGAGCAAACTAGTTTACAATGTTTATTGTCAGTAGTACATCCACATGCCTTTTTTTAGAAGAGCTGTATCACGAACGAAATCTTCCCGTCATGACCAGTTTTAGTAGCTTTGGTATGGCTAAACTATACGGTCAAACATGCGTTTGTTGCCACCTTGATGGAACGGCCACCTCTATACAGCAGCCATATGAAATTCCATTCCTACATTATATTGCGTTATAACACTGTGCAGAGTGGCCCCCTGCTCATGGCGGCCACTGACTTTGTAATTGTATCACTTAAAAAGATTCCGCCTGCACACAGAAACAATTTACCTCTCGAGGGGATCATTGAATCAGCAGTTAGACTCCCTTTCTTGCCTCGAAACGTTTCGTTCACATTGGCAGACTAGCAAATCATGGCATTTATTACTAGACTTGTCAGTGTCATGAAGATTTCTTCTCTAATATAGTAATAATCAATTAATTATATCAGCAAATGCCAAAAACATTTCACAACACCGGGAAGCAGCACTGAGTGAGAGAATAAACAACAAACTTGCAGAGTACGTAGTACAGTCTCAGTCTGTAGTACAGCAGTAACGCCAGCTCTAGTAACTATAGCCCGCGTACAGTTGCCGCTGGGCTATAGGACCAGCCATTAGGGATGCGCGGGACCAACTTAGTCACGCTTATTCGCGACTATAAAACGTCTGTGGTAGGCAATTAATGCCTCTTATCCGAAGTGAATATGTCTTAAGTTATATCAGCTACTAAAATTTAACCATCGTTGCAATGGTATACTTGAGGTATTTCTTGTGAACGAACATTCGATTTGCGAACTTCAAACGGCCATTTTTGGCGGCGCTGCAGCAGCGCCAGTCAGCGGGAACTATGTATTTCCGCACGTGGAGGGGTGAACGGGTTGGGTT